TGTATGGTGGCTCTTCTAGTATGGCGGTTGTAGAAACATAACTGTCTATAATTTCTTAACTTAATAGTGTATCGAGTACTCTTTATAGTCAAATTGTCTTAAATCCCTACTAATACTTATTATAAATGCGAAAGTAACTCTGTCTGTCTGTTACGCTTTCACGCCTAAACCACTGAACTAATTTTAATGAAATTTGTTACAGAGATAGAGTTGACCTTGAGAAAGAACATAGGATAGTTTTTATCCCAGACTTTAGAAAGGTTCTCTTGGAAACGCGATATAACCGAACTCCACGCGGGCGAAGCTGCGGGCGGAAAGCTAGTAAATCATATAGGAACTAAAAAACTTCAGTTACGACAAATGTTTTGTATAGTTATTTTATGGATAAACTATAAAGGCATTTGAAAAGCTATAATGTGAAACAGAACTAACTGACAATGGCGATTGATCAAGGTATATCCAAAACTATTCTATTGTTATCCTAACATTTGTACGCTGTCTATTTTAGTTGTGGTGCATAAAGTATGTGTGAATAATAATTATTTAACACACTACAATGCTATTTAACGATTTATTTTGTAGCTACAGAAACTTAGTTCGCATATAACATTGACATCAAAATCGTAAGTTTGAGTGTAGTTCTTAGTAGAACCGATTACTTTATTTATTACAAACGTAAAAAACTAATTTGAAATCTCATCAGTTTTATAAGGATAACTATCAAAACTTATGCAATCCAGTTTCACGTTCACTCCTGGGATTTTGATCGTTCCGCGGATTCGGACCATCATTATACATAAAATACTTTCCAGTTTCTAGACATTCTGATTTCTATAATAAAAAACTTTCTTTAATACTATCTACTAGCTTTTACAATTGATTTATGTTCTCAATATGAATATATTAATACATACATGCATTCAAATGTATTTGCACTTCGGTGAGATATGATTGAAAATTATTTTTTTTGCACAAAAGCTTTTGAAGTATATTACAGAAGATTAAATTTCAAATATAAGACACGCTGGCATTCAGTAAAAGTCGGAACCGGGAGACATGACAATGCGGCCGGCAAACAAAAGCCGGTGGACTGCGCACTGCATAGCAATCAAGCTATACGTCTAAGACCTTTGTCATATACATTTTGGGCTTTAAGGTCGTTAAAAGGTGTTATGGACTAATGTATTTATTGTTTCTGAATTACAACACCGATATGTACAGGAAATAGCTCCTATAAAACACTAAAACTCTTTTGGATATAAAGAAAAACTTGTTTAAAGATAATTAAATATGAACTGACATCAATTTGGTTTCTTAATAGTCAATATTGAATTTACTTTTTTCATTATAGTCCAATTTGGCCATAAAAAACAAAATTATTTCTTTCGTTTTATTGTTTATGTATTATTGTTAAAATTAAGTACAGAATGTACCTAGTAAGTAAATTCATATTGAACTTATATGTGTTTAAGGGTTGTTTACAAACAAAACAAAGGCTTCGTGTTAAAAGTATTACTGTATATTTTTTTGTACGTAAGAATTATAATCGTAGGCTGAAGTCATATTATTATAACTTGACCTTTGTCAACCAAAATACTAAGTAGCTACTACATACATTGGAATACCTTGAATTATTTGAGGATATGGCATTGAAAGGTTCGTTATGTCGCGGTCGTATAGTATTCTTGAAGCAATTTTCATTAATTGTTAAGGAACGATTGATTAACCTAAATATAATATTTCTATTCAATTCTGTTCCATTAAAAACACAACTATAGTCAAAACAATACGCCAGGATCAGACTGATTTAGGGCTTTGTAAGTCTAATTGACTTTCCCATAAGAAATTAACTTCGAGTTTCGCATTGCATACAAAATAGCTAGGTATCGGATTACATAACACGCGACTTACAAGTTTTCTAATTATTCTTACTTGAACAATTTACTCGAGCTTTTTATTGTTGTGCTAAGCTAAAACCCATCTTTCATAAAGTGAAGCTAAAGTGCACTCAACCGATGACTAACACTCGTAATGGAATAAGAACAATGTTTGAATTGTATTAACATAAAATCGTTCACTTTTATTCTATATTTGTATAACACTGTATTGGTATTTGTATTATTAGTTCAAATCCATAATGTTATTAATGTAAACAGTTGGATTAACGAATTTAAAGAAATAATTTTCGTATTTTTTATGCATTTTAAAAAAGAAAAAAGTAAATTAGGGTTACAAGTCGCCATATTAACGCGGGAGAATGCTAGGACACGATTGGTCAGTTTATTAAAAAAATAACAGCTGCAAATAATAGCTATAATCGTTTCGTGATTTGGATATAAACCATTCTGTTTTCAAATAACGGTTGCAAACACCATCAATATAAATTGCAGTACATAAGATTTAATATCTATAATGGTGTAGTGTAGACTTTATAACGGAATAAAATTTAAAAAAGTCAATCTTACTGGCACGGCGTCCCCGTCTAGAAGTGCACTTCCAAAACTTCATTGACACGTCGAGGTCAAAGATATGTCACAGAACGGCCGGCGAGCCAAGTGAGTGTCGTCTAACTGGCCGAATGGAGACGAAACAATGACTTTTGTTTACAAATGGTTGACGCGGAGAATTTAATGAATCGTCAAGTGTCGGAGTTATCACGAGTGCACGAACGCATATCCTTACAGAAACAAGACGGACGGCGGCAGTAGGATGGCGTGGGCAATACGAATAACACTACTCGAGCGACCTGGAAACCGCTGATTGATACTAAATTAGCTCAGAGCTATCTATATACAGGGTTGGAATTAATAAAAAGAAAATGCTTGTGTAAAAAAGTTTATTCTCTATCACATCATGTCTCCTACTTTTAAAATTTTGGAATATAGATGCCAAACATCGTAACATTAGGATTCGAAGCAAGCCATGAAACAGACCAATATAACGCGGCGTTGAAGATTAAAATTCGTTTTAAAGCAAATAAGTGACAGAAAATAAAATCGTACACAACAGTACAGATTACGTAATGTCCACAGATTAAAAACAAACATAAACCTGCTTCGAATCTACCAACGGACCAAGGGAGCTAATAAACATCCGCGCTCCAATACAACCTATTGTATGAACCATTCCCAATGACATTTGTATACTCATAAATGGATACGAATCGACTTCGTTACATACAAAATAGTATCTTTGTTATTGTTCATTCTACTTATTAATTCTATATTCAAGAGCGGACTCTTTGGATAGCGTGTGATTGTGTCCGCCGCCCCCCAGATTACTATCCAGTTACAAAAATACACGGTAAGCATAAGTTCTAGGCACGGTTCTGTACTCTAATTATCGATTAAGATTACACACTTACATCACTAGCATTACATATAACTTAACCAAAAATACTATCATACTTCTCGCCGTTTAAAAACTTCTAAAAAATGTCTGTGGTATGAAAATAAATTTGTAATAAATGCTCCATACATTTTCGTTTCGAGCATTATTTTTGTTCGTTGAGGATGTTATTACTTATACAAATGGAAGGCAGATAAAACTAAATACAAACTATAATTTCGAAGTCGGTACAAAGAGAGGTGTACGTTTAACGATTACGTCACGTTACTGTAGGTCCAAATTGATTTATTGTCTTTTCAAATGATAATTCTAAGAAATTAAATATGAAATTTCTCTTCATAGTCATTGAGGCGCAAGTAACATCATCGGAGTATTAAAAAACAGTATTTGAGCTTTTAAAGTGACTAGTTTGCTATGAATCAAACGCCTATATTATAATAAAGATTAATTTAGAATATTATTTTTAGTGCTTATCATTAGTATTCCTTTTCAATTTATTATCTATTCCAGTCAGTAGGCTGTATTTTTAAACAGTTAGTTTTATACCACACTTCCATAAAGCTTTACAATTTTTTTTCTTCATTGACCATACACAGTGCACAAATAAAAAGTATAATTAAAAAAATAAATATAAGAATATATATGAGGACAATTTAAAACATTTCGTATTGCAATTAAAAATTCTAATATTTTCCTATTATGATAATCTCATATTTGAATGTATGTGGAAATATTAAAATATTATTTGTTAAAAGAAATTAAACTATTACATGATAAAAGGTGTCAGTGCAAGTAATGTTACTCTCAATTTGGGCATACAGAATTAAATCATTTAAAAACAATATGATTAAAATGTAAAGCTTTGAAGACACAACAATGCTGACTAATAGCAATGCAGCCTTAGCAGCCGGTGCCCTTCATACATTATGTGCTACCTTACAATCTAGAACAAATTCAGACCTCATAGCAAACTGTAATTTCACTCAAACTCTCACAACAGACTTCACAAATCATAGTAATCTATGAAAATTGATATGTATTACAAAAATACAAAATATAGACATGATTTAATTCCCAGAAGATCCTAACACTAAAACGCTATACCAAACAAACATCCCCATCATATCAGTGAATTACAAATTCACATCATAAAAGGCACTGCTTTTTCTTTTGATAAATAAAAATGTCATTTGTGATGAGCAATTTTAACTAAAAATTTCTGTGTGAGATAAAAATAATCGTTCTCTAAAACTCAATCCTAAATTACAGATAATAAAGACATATAATCAGAATTTCAATAATAAAAATATAAACAGATTCCATTACATTTCAAATATACATATTTTTATATCTGTTAATTTAAAAAAATAATAATGTTCATAAAATGAACAGCCGAATCCTCTAAAATTACCAAATCATAAAATATCCACTAGCGCTAGAATAATTGTGTAAATATGATTAATTTTATACTTAACAATAGTTGTTGAATCAGTTTCTAAACCAATACTGAAAGGGTCTAAGTATCCTTACTAGCTTATTGCCATAATTACAGGTGGCTCTTCATAAATATCGTAGGGAGATATATGTTCCGTGGTCTTTGAGGAGATCTCATGTTCCACATCTAACCGCAGAGCTTTGAAGGCAGTTTCCTGTCAATGTCTGTACCACGCGCCTTGCACTCTAGTTTGGAAGTGCGATACAGGAGTTACTATGTAGGCTTGCTGTGGTTGTTGTACTACAGCTAATGGTATAACTTGTTGTGCCATTTCCACTGGTTGACCGCTGTCTTCAGACACGCCGAGCGGCTGAACGCAATGCTGCTGAGACACTTGCTGCACGCCACCCACTTGCTGCGTCAGCACTTGCTGGTGCTGACTCACTTGCGGCACTAACATCTGCTGCTGCATCTGTTGTTGCTGCGACGGCTGCTGCTGGTGTATCACCACATGCGGGCCTTGATTCTGCATTTGCTGGTGTTGCTGCACTTGGACTTGTTGCACTTGCTGCTGTTGCTGTTGTGCCTGCTGCTGCGCTTGTTGTTCACGATCGTGTTCCTCTTTCTTCTTAGCTTCCATAGCTGCCTTTTTAGCTTCGGCCTTCTCTTTTTCTTGCTGTATCCTGATCGGATCCTTATTTTTATCATAGGACATGCACTTACCACTCCGGAATGGAACCAAGTCCTTAGGTATCTCCTGCTTTTTAGTTGCAAATTTAACGTGAGGAAATTGATCCTTCATGAACGCACGGAATGTTGAATATCCCATGAGTTTCACTCCAGGCTCCAAAATTTCTCCATATTCTTTGTAAGCCTCGAACAAATGCTTTCTCGAGTCACCCTGAATAATAACAGTCTTGCTTGCTTTTTTACCTTCACCGGAAGGCTGAACATCTTTGGGAGAGCTGGCGTGCTGCTTCAAATATTCCTTGAGGAAGTTTGTCGCGTGTTTATATATGTCGAGGGTGAATGTGTTGTATGGTTTCTTGCCAACATTGCCATGTATCCGTGGGGCTACACCGTGAGTCATTACATGCTGCCTGATGCGTTTTAGCTGATAGTGGGTCACATTCTCCAAGTAAAGAAAAGCCTCTAAACAAACCTTCCTCCCTTGGTACACATAACAGGCTCTTAATCTCCTCCTAACTTTATGTCTCGATGTTTCCGCTGGATTAGCTAAACTGGCCATAGTTATTCCCATCAAGTACATGTCATGTTCGCTCTTAGTAAGTTCAGCTATGTTCAGTCTGTGACGATAAACTGCTTCTGGGTTTAATCCTCGATAACAATTGTCCTTGCAGTCACAACCTCGCCTTAATCGTTCTTTCACCTGAAATATTACACATAATTTTTCAATAAACTTTGAAACTATATTTGTAACACATATGCAACAAAAATATTATTTTAAATTTTGTAACCTAAGCGGTTTTATGAAAAGGACATCAAAAAATAATAATAATTGAAATAATGTATAATGTTACTAATTAAAAATATATAATACTGTAAATGTTAAACTCTTTGTATATTTATGTAATTATAAAACTATATGGGTGATCATCTTAGATTTGTTTTGTTTCATTGCAGTTGTAGATAAAGTTATCGATATGATATGATGACTCAACATATTAAAACCTTCCATATATAAGCGAGATATTATAACTGTAGTCAAAATTAAAGATAGATTATCTTAATAGACTAAGTAAGTACATAAAATGTTAAAGTAAGTTAGCAAAAATAAATAAAAGAGTATTTTATTAACCTGAGCTGGATTATCCTCTAGTTTATTGTCAAGAACCTCTTCATCGCTATCAGTTTCAGCCATTTTTTTCTTTCTTTTTGTGCCCGTTTTCTTCTCGACTTTAGGTTTTGTATCAACATCCATATCATTTCCTTCAACATTTGTTTCAAACTCAATACTGTATGTGCCCTGCATACTCTGCATATTGCCATCACCGTTTTCCACTTGTATTGTATGTCCTTGCCAAAGCACCTGGTTAAATAAATAAAATGCTTCATCAATTTTATATATTTACAAATTATAGTAATATTTATAGAGATTTTATATTTAAAATGAGAATAATATTATTTAAAGTATAGTACCTGTTCTTGATGTCCATTATAATTATGTTGTTGCATGTTTTGGCCTCCACCAAGTTCGAAAACTGAATGTTGTCCCATAACTGGGGTGTGCCATTGAGCGCTCTCCCCATACTCGCCGCCACCGTTTTGATCCGATGGTATGGACACTATTATAGCCTCCTTGCTGTCAACACTGCGACGCTCTACTGATAAAAGTGAATGCAGCACCTCACTTGCTTCCTTCTCAGCTGGATTTACTACTTCCATCTTCTCAAAAGACATATTTCCTCGACGCTACACTATAAGCGAACATTCACGTCAAATCACATGTACCTACTTACATACGTGTATGTACAATGGACATTGAGCGACTCGGCAAACCCGCCCCGTTCGCTACAAGAATCTACAACCCCACGATTATCTCAAGAAAACCGCGATAACTTTTCAAATTCATGTAAATAAACATAACAAAAACCGTGCAATTATTAACCTTAATCGCGTTTTTTAAGTTTCATTATCGCATAGCGGATCGAACTCCCGTGGAATATTGGGCCATATAGTCATAGCAAAGAAAGAATCAAACTCACCTTTTTCGCCTTTTATTCGCAACTGATACACTAAAAAGTATATCCTTTCAATTACTCGTCCAATATAGAATGTATTACTTCACTTCATTTTGATATTATAGTCATAATTGAAGAGAAATGTACAAATATTTCACAAAACTCACGGAAGCAATATGGCGATACACATTCCGTGAACAAAATCGGAGGACGCCGTAGAACACGTCGTTAGTACAGTGCGCCGACACTGCGCGTCGCTAGTGTCTGTGTTTCCGTATCGACGCTTTTTCATCTTTGATTCGCCCGAGCGCGCCAATTTTTAAAACTTGTTAAGTGTAATATTAACGTTACAGTAATATTTTATGAAGAATTTAAGTTATAAAAATATTAAATGGATCAGATATTTTTTATAAAGTAGGGACAAATAAGCAGATAGGTCTCGTAATAGAATATCACCTAATAGTGAACTTATGGACTTTTAACTAATTTAATCTTAAATATTATACAGCCTTTACAATACAATGTTAGAGTAAAATATAAAAACGATCGATTCCCGGGTTTTACTGGAACCTACCTGTAAGTTGTTTCTGTAAGGATTCACACTAGTAGATATCCCTTGAATAAGATAATCGGTGTCGTTTTACATTACGTTCATTTTATTTCTTGTCTAGTCTCTTTATAACTTACATAACATTTATAAAGTATGTACAGATCGATAAAAATATAAAACCTTTTTTACAACGCGGTGATGGAAACAAGAATTATGAATCATAGCACGTATCAGGTGTAACAAAACGACGATATTATTATACGAAGCTTATAGGGAAGGAGGGTCGTCAGCGGTGTGGAACAAAATTCGAGATCCTGCCGTCCGCTAAACATTGATATTTTTCATATACATACATACAGTTCACGTTCAACCGTCGACCAAGTCCCGACTAGGGGGATATTAATTTCATCGAATCATTTCCTATAATACTGTTCCTCTTTTCATGGTTTTAAAATTATATAATAACATAACAATAAAATCATTACAATTTTACGAGAAGATCAACAAGGATATATCGTTCGAACTCGTCGTCAAATATAAAATTCTTAATAAATATAATAAAAATGTGTTTTGCCGACTTGAATTTTTACAGCTTTATAAAAAAAATAGTAGCTCTGCAGAATTCCATTTTCCGTTTGTTAGAAAAACTTTAAAAATGTTAATGAGTTTTTTTTTCATTCCTAACGTTTTTCCTAATTTATTTTTAATTGATTCTATTAGTAATTATTACATAATTAACAATTATTATTGTAAGTAACCAGAATTCCTTAATTTGAAAATGGAATTGCTTCATTGAACATTATTCCGATGCCGTGATGTTACGCATCTAACAGCCAACTATTGTTTATATTAAAACAATCGGCTGAAATAGAAAGTGCATGTCAGATTAACATCCGAAAATGTATTAACTATAGTATCTACGTATAATATGCATATTTAATATATTAAAATCCAAATGACATGACATGGAAAGGGTCACCGAAACATAAGTAGTATTTGTGGGTTTATGTTTGAATACAATCATTATAATCTTCAGTCTAATAATATCTGCCTGGTTCGGTATTAAGCAGGTGTATCACAGGACAGTGAACAATTTAGTTTACTTGGTTAGATTTTAAAATTGCGTTTTCTGCCTTGAAATACATCCTACACGTGATACAAATATCTTATTATGTCGTCTGTGTTTAAGATGCAATTTAAATTAAAAGTCTATTGGTAATAAATTATATGTATTTAAAACAAAGCACAATATATAATAATTAATTTGGTTATAATTCAAAATTCACGTGTTACTGCTATTCCCATGTAATAATAATTTTTAAACGGAAAAATGAACTTAGCTTGAACTACGATTTAGTCATATTGCTTTTTTTTAATTTATGGCATAATAATTATTGTTTTAAGTTAATAAAACATTAATGATATTAATTTTTTTGGATGTTGAAAACTATAATACAAAAATAAGTTTAATTTCTATCGATTTTTGAACAACATTATATTTTTTTATTCGTTCCAAATACAATAACTTAGAATTGCGCTTGCAATTGTCAAAATAGCCGTTATCATTAGTTCTTATAGAATTGTATAGAATAGTTCATATGTATTAGAATAAATGGAATTAAAATGAATTTGTCACTGAAGACATTAATATAATCGGGAATTTAAAGATAGCTGGTGGAACTTGTAAATGTTTACATTAATTCACAATTCACCGATTAATACGTATCTAATTAATATTAATCAATACGTAAGTTTCAGTCTTGATATATTTTTTTCCTTTTTTTAAGTATATAGTAGGTTTGATTTTGCGTTGAAATTTATGTTTTGCTACAGATTACGATATGATTTATTCTATATATTATTCGTGAATAATCTACTTACCGCTGGTTGAAGAATCTAAAGTAAAACAGCTACTCCTGGACCTGACGATGGCTGGTGACGGCCCATCAGGCCACTCCATCCGTTCTTCCATGGCCTTAGAAGCGCTCCTCTTGAACTGTTCCAAGAAGCTGTCTATTTGCGTCTCTATACTAGTCGGAGAAGTAGCCATCGTTACCACCTCAACAAAACACAACACCGTCTTATATCTACGACATTTCACGCATTATTGTAGAATATTTTTCACTATAATCGCTTCCTTGTTGTCATATAAATATATAATATACATTCGCACCATTATCACACGGTATAGTTTACGTACGATTTTATTAAAATTCTATTTAATCTTCACGTTTTCCCGAGGACATGAAAGAATCTATCGCAGCGGAATGATATTTTACTACGGATACCGTTAGTCTATATACGGCATCGAAAATAAAGCGACACCCACCGACATCTATCGATCGTCGAGAACAGCTGCTCCTCAGTATTGCCACATCCAATAGCGATAATTACGCTTCATTTTTAAATGTATTTTAATTAAATATTACTATAGTTTCTTATTAGGTGCATATCACATATAATTCAATCAGCTTAACATGTTTTTAAATACATATTTGTTTAATATTTAAAGAGATATGAGACGATAAGATTTTATGTATGTGTGTGTATGCATTGTACTGTGAGTGTGTATGTGTTTGTGGGTCGTGTTCGCTTAAGCCGGCTACCGGCACATTCTGTGTACTCTCTAGTGCTGAACGAAGAGCGTGTGTAGTTCGCGGTATTATTAAGGTGACTTGAACTGTCACGCACGAGACTACACCCGGCCTAATAATGTCAAGTGAGTTTATTTAATTGTAAGAAATTATATATATATTTTAATGCATCTGATTTAAATAAATTTTATATTCGATGTTAATACGTTACCGGTGACGGTCATTTCAATGTTTTGAAGGTCATCCTAGTCAAAGAAGGGTAGTTCTAAATTCATGCGTTAATTACGATTTACGATTTTAAATATATTATATATTTTTTTAACATTTTTTTGGTATATTATTATCATAATTTTAATCCAAAAATATATGTTCATTATTGAAAGACTATATTTATAAAAAAAATCAAAGACGTAAGTATTGTACCAAAACTGATCGTTATTTTGGAAATATATTTAAATTAAGATAAAGACTGATGAAAAACAAAAATATTTATTCCATATCAACTAAGAGTGAATCGTTGTGTAACTCGAGACATTGTTCCTATTTGAACTGCCGCTCGTATATCAAACGAGTCATATAAAACTGACAATCTTATCTAGAATGGATAATGATTAAGACTTATGAATTAAAGACTACGGAATAGTAGTACGTGCACTACTATTTGGTAGTGATACAAATAAACTATTTAGTGTTATCAGATTAAATTCTCGTCGTTATATGGTGCCGGTTAAAACAGTGTAGACCTATTTAAAGACCTTATCAGCTAACTGCAGCGATCTTGACCGTCACCTTCGTCATAGATTACGTACGAAAAATATTTGATCGAGTATATTTATTCGGAATTTTTAGTAGCGACCATTTCAGGCAATTTTTTAATTAAATATATTATTATTTTTTCATGTATGTAATACATGCAATGTATTAGATTTTAATATTAATGAGAGTTCTTTAGTTACATTTTTTTTTAATAAAATTGTAAATTTTTAAATAGTAAAAATATAATATATACTTCATTTTTTATATTTGAATTAAATGGCAGTTATTTTTCAGTGACATAAAACATCTTATTAGAATCAGAATTTTATATTTATTTAGCATGAACCTTGAAAGACGTGGAATAATCTAATTAATTTTTAATCCTGAACTCCTAACACGTCTTGTTAGTTTATCTTAACCGTCCCAAGAGGACTTAGTTATTCTGTTTAATAAATATATAATAGTAACTAAATCCACCTTTCTCCTATAAACTTCCCTTTCACTTCACATAATATCCAAAGTGCGATATTTCATGTTAACATAATTATGAATATTTTGATAAATCGCGTGATTATGACCAAATAGAATTATGGAAAGCAGTTTAATTTCTGCATGAATGGTTTAACACGATGTTATTCTGAAGATGGGTTCGTTCCTTCATACGCTCGCCTTGCCGCTCCTAAATAGAAACCACACGGGCATTGAACCCGCAAGTCCTTCGCTTTTAAACTTTTATTCCTTATTGGGATCTATCAGACGAGGGCTGCTTGATCTATTTAAGACCAGACAAATTTAATATCATTTAAAGATAGACTATTTTAGAATGTGATGTCAGACAAAATATATTAGACATTTCTTCTCGTAATATTATTTTATTAATCTTGATTAAAATAGAATCAGTTTTAATCTATTCCATAGCTCGTTTTTCATGTAGAAGTTATTAATATATATTCTGTTGGAGAAGATTTTAATAGCACTTGTATTGGTAATATTATTATTGAGAATATTAATGAGAGATAGGTTGATAAAATATCAGATTCCCACGATTTTAGCACTATTTTATCCATTCAATATGATTTTATCTGACAATAAAACTATACAGTATATTATATACATACTCTTCTTAATTTTATATTACATCTTTTGAGATACTTAATACTGATTTATGACGTCAGTGCTAATGTCATTAATTCGTTAAGTTAAATCTTATCTTTCTGTTAACTCAATTCATGAACGGTCAGTGCTATTTAGATTTTTTAATTAGAAAACTGAAGTGTTTTCTGATATTTTTATAACGTGTACCTAATATCGTCCAACTGAATTTGCGGATCGGAATGATTTTATAATAGAATGTTTGTTAGTTTAATTGTGGAATGCATAGGCGTTGTCCCGGCAAAATATCTGATGCTATGTAGTAGTTTTATTTTGAATTTTATTTGTGTCGCGCTATTTTAGACTAGAAGACGAGCCACGCACTTTTGTTACACGGAACCGGTGGCGTGGCCCACGCAGGACTGAAATATTCATTTAAATGCATCATACTACGTAGAATTTATAGAGGAAGATAGCTTTCGTTCATTATTTGCAATAGTTATTAACTGGTTTAATATGCAATTTCTTTCTTTTACATTTCAATATTGAAATTCTAAATTGGATGTACCAGCAATGCATATTTCGTTTAAAATTAATAATTTATAAGGATGATTCAGAACTTATTTCAGAACGAAAAGCAATTGACTTAATGCATACAGACAATCGATTGTGCATGAAGGTTTAATGCGTGGTAGGATTATGGGATATAACTTATACGTCTCAATTCCACAGAAAAATAAATAAAAAAAACTAAACTTACATAAACTGTCTATTTTTTAATTTTTGAAACTATAAGAAACTTAAAATACAACTATAATAATATTAATATATGTAGTATGTAATGATTCATTTATATTTACTTTCAAATGTCTGACGTATAGGACCGTATGTAAAATACTTAGCAAACTAATAAAGCCAAGATGAATAAACACGTTTTATTATATATATGTAGTATCTACTTGTAGCTTCGTCTGAACTGCGCACTTCCTAATGCTGCGCCCGCGTCGTTTTCTTATTAAGACACTCCCATAAAATTTAGAGTTATTTTGATATTTTACGTCTTTGGCAAATTGTAAATATGTGGTTAAATATTATAAACATCGATTTATATATTTAATGGAAATTTTTAAAACTATCTTCTCGATATTTTTAGTGCAAGAAACTTATGATGTTGATAAATTTGCTGCTATAAACTTCTTTCGATTCAATTTCAATTTTTTATATAGATCATAGACATTACATAAAATTTGCATTTATTAATGATAAAGAAAGGTCAAAAAATAATTTCTTTATTTCGTAAATATTTAAGTCTCTTAACAATCAATTTTTTCAAATCAATCAACAACAAATTATATGTATCCATGTGTATAATTCACTCTAAAAAGATTTTTGTAAATACATAACTTTAATTTTGAGTATATTAAGGTAAAAATCTATAAGCAATTTCTTTTCACAGACCGAGCATGGGTGACCCTAGCTACAAACGATTCCTATGGTCTTGGGGCTTTGGTTCTGGCGCATTCCTTGCGTCGTGCCTCCTCCTCGTACCCAGCAGTCGTACTGATTACTCCCTCGGTCACTGAACCCATGAGGTAAGAAAGACAGATCAAACTCTTGATTATTAAGGTAAGATTGAAGAAGCTAATTGGTATGGGTATTGCTCCATTGTTGAATATTACTGGCCATTTTAATATTCTCTTTATATAAAGAATCTTTTTCGTTTTTCAAGCTCTTTTTCGTTTTATAAAAGTTTTAGGAACGAACAAGTATTGGATTATACTTCAAGCATCAAAATCAATGAAAAATTTCTTCAATACAAATGAAGTATCTGATATCTTTTATTAAAACGTTTTTGTTTAACATTACAATATTAAGGAGCAATTTTCTAGAAACTAATTAAAAATATTTCTCATATAAACTGTATCGTACAACGGATCCTGTAACCGTATTTAAATTAATATTTGTAATAGAATTCTTTATAACGGGATGTACATCATAAAATTTAAAAAAAAACAAACAGACTATGTGCCATCTGTAATGTAGCTTCGACCTTGAGTTTTGCAGTCAGGAATCCGATGTTTACGTTAAAAATCGATCAGGGACAACATAAATTATTCGTTTATTAGTGTTTAATGATAATCGGATTCACATGCAGCGTTAGTAAAGGCCAACGTAAATAAACAGCGCCAGTAATAATGTATTTTGATTCCACGTTTTCTGACGCTCTTTGACGTTACTGGACAAGTGTTTTGCTGTTTTTGATCGTGACGCAATAATTTCTTCCCGTCTACTTCCTACATGAAACTGTTGAAGGATTTACTATTTTTATGTGATGTTCATAAATATTTTGACTCTATATAATTACTAGATCTTTTTCTTCTTCCAAGATCGTTTTCCCAATTATTTGGAGTCGGCCTTCCTTGTCCAATGTCATTCTTATTTTGTATTCTCATATTTGGACAAGAAAAGGGGTTGGCTGTGTTATTTTACGGCCATATATCGGTTATAAGAATGTTTTTTTTAATAGTTGTTTTATAAGAAGCAGTATTTATTATACATTTTATTCACGTGTATATATTGTGGTCAGCAATGAAGACAAGGTGTTATTATTTTATATTATAACCTGATTAGCAAGATCATTATTTATAATTTCTATTAAGTAAATGTTTTAAATTTATTAATTCTTATTATAAAGATTTCTAGTCTGTTCAGTAAAAGACTAATAAACTTTTAACGCGTTAATAATGTTTTTAAAGACGCGTATTAAATTATCTATAAAGAATTCCTGTTTTATATTAAACGTTAATATTATTTATAAGCTGAAAACCGGTGAATCGAGTTCATTAATTTAAAGAATCTTAAATAGAAATCAAATAATGGTAATAAAAAGTAGAAATAATTTAAATTCTTTTCAAAGAAATGTTCATTTGGGTAAGGAAGTATTAACAATAGGTATTCGTCGATTAATTTAAATATGTTAATACATAAATAATTTCGAACAAATGTTGTATTCAGTGTATTTGTGTGTTAGGGAGCGTCTACGTGCAGTATTCGCTGAAGTGCTCCTAGTGGATGTTTTGGACTCCAAGGATGCTGCTCATCTAGCCCTGCTGCAGCGGCCTGAACTGGGCATCACATTCACCAAGATACATTGTTGGAATCTCACTCAGTATGACAAATGCGTCTTCCTTGATGCCGATACATTGGTAAGTAGCTATACAGAATGATACACTCAAAACAAAAAAAATCAATTTAAATAATTTTTACTAGTATTTTTTTGTAAAGGAAAACGATTTTTTGCTAACAATTTGAATCGAATTCCAACTTCATATACCTATATTTATAAGTATACATAAACCCGTAGGGTTGTGCTAATATTATAAATGCAAAAGTAGCTCTGTCTGTCTGTCTGTTACGCTTTCACGCTTAAACCACTGAACTGATTTTAAGGAAATTTGGTACAGGGATAGAGTTGACCTTGAGAAAGAACATAGGATAGTTTTTATTCCAGACTTTTGAAAGGTTCTCTTGGAAACGCGATATAACCGAACTCGACGCGGGCGAAGCTGCGGGCGGAAAGCTAGTTCACTACACGCACAAGAAAGAAATCAATTTCAATAATTTTTGCTAATATATTTTTGTTTCTAAGGTTGTGAAGAAAATCGTTTTTTTCTTACAATTTAAACAGAATTCCAGCTTCGTATTCGTAACTATGTCATAAAGATTTACAGAGTGGAATACTCTTTAAAATTCATTGAAATTTCTCAATCATGTTGTCATTACATGCCACAATTGTTATTTAAATCGCGAGCTATTTATAAACAGTTCACATTGTTTATTCATAATCAATTCCGAAGACAATAATGTGACAACAAAAATTACATAAACAAATTTTTTTATCAGCAACTTTTAAACTAAGATATGATATGTTCAGTCGTTTTTAAATGATGTTCCCATTGCAATTGTTTATGAGTTGGGAAAGTCAATGTTAACGACGTTAGCAACCAGTGACGATGGACCTGTGGCCTAAATATTTTTTTTAGTTTCTGGATAGTTTCCAAAAACCATAATACACTCATTTCTGATCAACATTAAAGTGAATGTCGTGTTCAGTGTCAACAATCAACTTGATACTTGATATTAAACAGACGTCTCGTTATCTCATCGTCTCCCAAAAAAAATTGGATTCCCAAAAAAATATTACATATATTTCTTTCATACGAATATATTATTGAAATGTCTGCGATTTTTACTACTATTAATCTAATCTTCAATAGTCTTGCCATCAAATAACTATCAAAGAATATATATCTATACATTTAAGTGTTGTTTTATAGACATTTACATAATTCTATATATAAATGGATTACGGCGTTAATATTATTATAGTATTAAATGAACGACGGAACGCGAGGCGACACTTTAAATAGGATCAATTGTTGTATAACGCACAGAAGTCTTTTTTTTTATCGTCGGGTTAATGTGTCAAATATGTCCGATAAAACTACTCATTACGATAACGTGTTCACGTGTGATGTGTCGTGAATGACAGATGAAAGTAAAATGCTCCTCCTGTTACATCTTCCTGGCAATTTCCCAGCTTTAGCCAGGGTCTGCCTCGTTCCTCCTGTTACATAAATACATACCCATTATTAATTAAACCATATGCTACGAACGATTGCCAAAAACATGTAAATTAATCCATTTTGTTTTGTATAATCCAAAATATCTCATACTTATGACACATATGATAAAAACAAAAGTTAGTTTTAACTAACTTTAGATCTTTGGTATACTAAATTTTTCAACCCGTCCCATATATAATAAAGCTTTTATTGGATATATTTTATTTGTTTTCTTGTAAGAATAGATAGAAATAATAATAGATCGTAATTCTCCCGTTGTATAGATCGTTCAGAACTGTGATGAGTTATTCGAGCGCGAGGAGTTGTCCGCTGCCCCCGACGTCGGCTGGCCCGACTGTTTCAACTCGGGAGTCTTCGTATTCAAACCTTCCGCCGATACATTCAGCAAACTCATCACATTTGCATCCGAAAGAGGCAGTTTTGATGGTAATTTTGTTTATATATTTATTGATTCATTGACCTGAGATTTGAGTAATTTTAGATGGATGTAAAGGTATACATAAAAGAGCAAACGGAATATTTCTTAATGCTAATTTAAATCCTAACTGTTCTTTTAGGAATTATTTCTTTGTATGTGTAACACAGGTGGTGACCAGGGTCTCTTGAATTCCTACTTCTCGGATTGGGCCCACGGTGACATCAGCAAGCATTTGCCCTTTCTGTACAATGTGACATCTGCTGCTTTTTACTCCTATATCCCAGCCTTAAAACAGTATGTATTTTTTAGATGAGTAATCTCATGCGACGTCTTTTATTCCAAGGATTAAATTTTCGTTTTCAGTTACGGCCAGAATTTAAAAATTATCCATTTCATCGGCGCCGCCAAACCATGGCTTCAACAATTCAACTGGCAGTCTCGTTCAGTCGAGGCTCCTGAGCATTTGCGAGGTTTCTTGCAACTATGGTGGGACCTCTTTGTTGCTCAAGTTCATTCACAACTAGACACACAAATGGTAAGTCCCCAATAATTGTGTAACGTTATAATTAACTGTAGATAATTACTGGATATTATGACGTATCACTAAGTTGACGATATAATAAATAGTCATTCAATATCATCGATTTATTGTATCACACGCGAGGAATGCAGCATTGGTAAGTTATTAGATCCAATATCAATTACCACAATGAGATCAAATCCAATATGGCTTCTAGGATTTCACGGTTCACGACCGCAACTACTTAGTGATACCTTTCATAAAATCCAGTAAATCAATTCATGCTCATATCAGTGTAGTCTCTGATCGGAACAACATGTGTTCCAAGCAGCAGGATTCTTGTGTTGAGGTGAGATTTGGATAAATATTTCGTTTAGCATTTCTATATGTCAATTTTAAATAATTTATAAATTAATTTTCACTTTTCTCTCAAACCCGAATGCTTTTTCTTAAGCTTGTGCACCGTGTGCTATCCCCCCCTTTATCTGAAGCAGTGCCGAATTGAATATTTCTCCAAAATACTAACATTTTCTAACGTTCAAAATTATAATTTATGTTTTTATACTTGCATTGTTGTAACAGGGTTGTTGGAAATGGGGTTAACTGTTGAGGTGTTGGTATTTTGGTGAAATTATCACCTGTAAATAAACATACAATAAATATCTATGTTTCCATTAATGTCTCCTTGATTTAAATTTATTTATTTATTTTTTAACTACTTCTTGTATGTTTATTACGTAGCATTTTGTATATAATTTATTAATTTCCGCTTGGATTAAGCTTGCACAGTCTTGTAGTTTAGAGTGCGTGAAGCTTTATTCAAGATTATTCTTGCATGCTTTACTATTGAGCTTTGTTATCGCTTCGACTAGGCTGAGGAAGTTCCTCTGGCGATTGACTTAGAAGAAGAAGAACCGAGTGAATACGATGAACCAGTACAGGATTATAGTTTCTATGAACCGACACTGGATCCGAGTTCTGAGTTTCCATGGCATCGACCTTACAATCAGACCAAAAACACAGAATCCATTGAGCCCAACATCGACATAAGTGAATTTCATGATCCATGGCATATTTACAGAGGGAACATACCCCCTAGTAGAGATGATACCAGTAGTATAAATGCAACAGAAAGTCAAAGACAGTATGCCTGGGACTACATACAACCGCAAACACAACATTTCACACCAGAGAATAGTCACAATTCTGAAAACAATTACAGTCAGCATCATAACAGCGATATATGGAAATATAATTCCGAAAATAATTCTCAACCTCAAACTACACAACAGTTTACATTTACACCTTCAATAAGTTCTCATTGGGAAGAAAGTCAATACAATACAAGTGTTCATGATCAACACTATCATAACACACCGGTTCAAGAAATAAGTTACCAGCATGATCATTACCCACGTCACAGTAATCAACAAAGTTCACCTGAATCTCAAAATCAGCCTGGTGATCACCAAGGTCATCATAACAATCACCAAACTCACACCAATCACCAACACTTCGAACATCATCAAAATAATCATCAGAATTACAGTCATTCTCAACACTATGGAAATGATCATTATCAGAACAACTTTACTCAACAACATTTTGAAAGTCATGAACATGAACAAAATCAAAGTTATAATTGTCATCATTCATCTGAACATCACCACGAGGCACAATCCTATCATGACACTGGTTTTGAGCAATCACATCAAAAAACCGATTACTATCAAGACAAACATGATACTCAGTCTCTATTTCATAACCATTCCCATAGCAATATCATAGAAAATAACAAAAATGTAAACAATGATGAAAAAGTCAATAATAATTATAGGAAAAATGTTGAAATAAATTATTCGCAGTTTAAAAAACAAACTCAACCACACATATACACTGTCATGATGGATTATGAAAGGTTGCATACTGTTCGTAAATTACATTCACATGTAAACGGCTGTGAAACAGAGTATTACAGTAATACTTTTGAAGACATCCCTAGGCATCCGTATGATGGATTTTATCTTAGACATAGAACAACTATAGATTCTCGGGGGCGAAAAATATGTATTCATGAAATACCTCTTTCGCCTCCGTCGCCAACACCGTCACTTGAGTCGTCACTTGAAAGCGATGATGAAAATGAAATAAACGAAGATGTTAACTATGACAGGCTAAACGGTGAAGAAAGTCAAGTAAGTAGCCAACTATCTGACACAACATAAAGGGTATGTAACCAGATTTTTTTAAGAAGCTATGCCAAATGTAATAAGTAGTTTCTTTAGAACTGCATGCTTATAGTGATCAAAAGTACTAATTTTTAATATCATTAACCTATTAATTTTTCTGTAAAAAATATTTCAATATGATATTTTATATTTCATTCTAATGATTTGTTTCACTTGGGTCTTTCAGACTGGTGTAGCAGGTAACCTGGCTAAAGTGGTGCCGGGTGAACCGCAGCAACAAGAGGCAGTCGATGAGCTTACGAGGCGACAGGGCTGGGAAGCCGGCAATATTGATTACATGGGTGCTGACTCCTTCGACAATATTTGGGCCAAAATATCCCAAACACTAAGTCAACCACCGAGTTCCCCACCTCGAGAACCTTCTCCATCCAAGGAACCTAGCGAAGACTGTGCTGCGGCAGCAGAAGAAGTAAAAGAGGCCGTGGTAGCACCGGTTGAATCAAAACCCGAAGAATCAGTCAAAGGTAGTATACCGTCAGACGGCTCCTCTGAACCACCCGTTGCAGTAGAGGCACCAGTCGTGGCATCCGAAGTAGATGCCTCCATTGCTTCAACGGAAACTGTAGAAAATGTTGTGTCAATGGACGCTGCAGAAACTGTTGCGCCTACTGAGACAAGTGAAAGCGTTCCCCCTCCAGAAGCACCTGCATGTGTTCCCCTTCCCGTGGCATCTGATTGTGTTTCCTCGCCTGAAGTTCCAGCAACTGTTGAAGCATCAGAACCTGTTGCACAGGTTGAAGCAACAGAATGTGTTTCCCCTCCCGAAGCATCAGAACCTGTTGCACAGAATGCTGCAGCAGAGAGTGTTTCCCCTCCCGAAGCATCCGAACCGGTTGCACAGATTGAAGCAACCTGTGTTTCCTCACCTAAACCATCTGAAAATATTCCAATCGTTGAAACAAAAGAAACTGTGGCACCACCCGTCGCTGACGTAAATGTTGCTTCGACTGAAGTCTCGGAAAGTGTTCCTGCGCCTGAAACACCTATAGCTCCGGTTGAATCGATAGATAATGAGTCTGTTCCTGAGCCACCTGCACCTGAAAATAAAGATAGTGTTGTCCCTGAAACTTCACCAGCAGCGTCAATTGAAGAGCCTGTCGTAGATGTCCCTGTTCCAGCGAGTGAAGCCGCCGAATCTTCAGGTAAACAAGAAGATCCTATTCCTGTTCCAGCCGAGATCGCCGCTGTACCAGAAAGCACGCCAGACGAATCCCAAAAGGAGATGGAGCCATCAGGTGACATACCAGTGACTGCTGAAGAAGCAATAAAAATTGACATTGCATGCGTCCCTAAATCTAGTGAAATGCCAGTTGTGGAGAACCAACCAGAGTCTCCTTTAAATAAATCATTGGCAGCCAACGAACAATCCTCAGATAAAAAGGAAGTCGCCTCTGACAGCCCACCTCTGGCCAGTACCCCTTCCAAAGAAGATATACCTAGTCCACCAGCTGCCAAAAGTAAGTAACCAGCCGAATACAGCTAACCGATCGGCTTTTGCATAAAAATCTCACCGATTTAATTTTGCAGTTTTCATATTTTGTTACTAATATTTTATAATGTCATCCTTTACGGGAGTCATAGCTCGCGGGACTGGCACTCCATCGTACTGATAGATCCCGTAAAGAGACATGTTTACTTTGTGCCGTTTTGTGTTTTGGTTTTATTTTTCTTTTGATTATACCTTTCAAAATTCGTTATTATTTCATCCAGCTACCGAGGAAGCAGCGCAAGAGACGCGGCTTTGATGGAACAGGTAATAACCAATTTTCACTTGGACCCAAAACAACATATTTAATAGAATTTCATATTTTGTATAAGAAAAACTAGAGACATTCAAGCTATAATTCATTCAGTAGCGTTTCTAATATTTGAATGTATTTATTTATTAAATTTTGGGTTGAGTCCAAGTGTGTGAATTACGCAGGGATATTTAGATAGCGTCAGCGTTTTCCGATGCTATTTTTGACACTCATTTCGACTAGTATGAACATGAAACTCATTGAACTGAAGTTGCGTTATGGCCCTGCCACTCCACTTCCAAATATTTTTTTTCTCTAATTCATGAGTTTTTTAAAGTATGTATGAAATTGTCAAATGAGTGAAGTGGTTGTCATAATCGATTTTTTTTGCATCATTTTCTTGGGTTATCTGCTTCTCATAATCGTTAAAACATTACAAGGAGGGTTATTAGAAATTAAAACGATCATTTGATATATATTTTATCAACACAATTCGCAATAATCAATTAATTTTTCGTTTAAGATACATAGCTCATGCGAAATGCTGTTGCTGTATTTCATTTCGAATAACCCTCAACGTAATGTGCAAGCCTATTTGCTAAACTGAAATAACTTTTTAACTTTCCGCTTGCATTGTTTCGACTTAACCGTGTAGCTCCGTTTTCGCTAACTTTGTTCCAGGCCCTTACCGAGCTTGCTCTCTAATGTGACAGCCATACTAACGCCTCACTTAACCGAAAGAAAGAAAATAAAGGCGGGATATCCTTGGTTGCGTAGCGGAGGAGCGTCGCAAGCCGGTGGGGAAGCTGTCTCTGCCGCCCGCGTCTTGTGACACGCTGCCGACACCCGACAGCGAGCTGGAGGACGCGGCCTCTCTTGCACACGCCATCATCGCCGGTGAACTGCGCACGCCTACCGTCACATCCCCCTCACCCCCCATCATATCTGCCTCACCTAAAACACAACCCTCACAAACACAACCCCGCAGTCTATCCATCGACCAGCCCGAAATACCAACTCCTCCCCTCGATTCCCTATCATTATCACAGATCGGAGTCAAATCAAAACCCACCATCGCATCTCAAATAGAAACTTCGGTTTCTAAGACCGAGGCCCCAACTTCCGAGGTGTCTGAAGCACCCAAACCGAAGTCAGACGCTCCCAAAAAGAAAATAGTGAAGAAAGTTGTGAAGAAGGTGGAAAAGGAGGGCGGTGCTAGTGACGCGCCGGTCCCCGTCCCGCCGCCGCGGAAGAAGGAAAAGAAACCCAAGGACAAATGAAGCTCCTACCTACTACCAAAACAGTTCCTCTGTGCCATTATATTAGCCTCGCCTTTGTTTATTAATACTTCGCTTTCGTATTCGTGTAATCGTTTTATATTTTATACAGATAATATAATACTCAATAACGTCCATTATTAAATTAATTGTAAGCTATGTAATTTTATATTACATTTAATATCGAAGTCATTTAAAAAATAATTATATTATATATCAGATTTTTAAAAATTGATCTTATTTATTCTACCAAAGCATGACACATATTTATTAACGTGTTGAATATAAAATATTTGTATTAAAGTATATTTTCCATTCACGTTTTTTATTTGTACATCTGTAATGAAAGAAGAAAGAAAGAACCTAAAGTTTTATCTTACTCTCAAGTCTCATTTAAACAAATATGGGGGAATAACAATAGGTGTAGTGAAATATAATGGTTAATTTCTTTAATTCTATTACCTAGCATCGTTAAATTTAAAATAAAAAAGTATAAGCAAAAGTAAAATCTTGTGAATAAATAAAAAAATATTAACAACATAAGTTAAAATAACATTTAAAAGGTAAAAAATAATTCACTGGTTTGGGCTTTACTTCTGAAAAAACAAATAAAATGTCATTACATAAGAAAATTAGGTCTTAATACATATCTATAATACAAAAAACATTTTATAAAAAATCTGCATTGATGGAAAATCTTATGTTTATAAAATATTTGAATACCTTGAACATAAAGTGAATAGATATATAATATTTATTTTATTTATGAAACAACATCTTATAAGTATTGAGAGACTTTTTGAAGACTGAAATATTAAATACAATTTATTGTATTTGAATATGTAAAAGATTATGTGATTATAAAATTTCATAATACATACATACATACAGTAGGACCTCGATTATCCGGACTAATTGTTGTCGGTAGGCATCCGGATAATTGAAAGTCCGGATAATCCAATATATGAAGAAAAACGGGCTTCTTGCATATGTACATATGTAGTCTGTACCATACATATGTAATGTTAGGTGTTTATTTAAAACAACAAATACATATGAGCGAAAATCAACGTTTATTAAGAAATTGTACATAATGTACGTATAAGTGTTAGAAGTGGCGTGGCGTTATGCAAGTTCTGACATGTTAATCTATATATATAAAAATGGATTGCTGTTCCTTAGTCTCACTAAAACTCGAGAACAGCTGAACGGATTTATTTTATCTTAGTCTTGAAATGTTCGTGGAGGTTCAGGGAAGGTATAAAAGCTGAAAAAAAAATCCGGGAAAACGCCCTAAAAACAGCGCTTTTCTATTTCCCATACAAACGGGTTTTTTTTACATTCGATTTGACAACTAACTAATATATCAATCATTCTGTCGCACTTTAGAACACGGAGCTTTATGGCTTAAAGGTAAACTCCAAAAAAATAATTAAGAAATAATTTATTTCTTGATTGAGGCAGTACAAAGTCTGCCGGGTCAGCTAGTGTTAGAATAAATTCGTCGCGATTGGCAGTCCGGATAATCGCGAATTCGGATAACCGAGGTCCGGATAATCGGGGTCCTACTGTACTTATATTGCGCTTCATTCACAGAAAATACATTCAAATTTCTTTGGATTAAATGTGTTTGTCTGCTTCAGTAGAACTACTAAATGAATATACGCTTGAAAGACAATTTCCTTGTTCTTATTTTTTATTAAAATACATCATTATAAGAGTTAAAGTTGGTTTCTGAAAATGGTATGAGTTATTTTTGTCGTATTATTACTCGATCCCATCACGCAGTCAGAATAATAGTAGCATGACCACCAATACATTATTTTACCAGAAGTAATATTTAGTCATAGTACAGTTTTTATAAACGATTTTATTAGCAATGTAATATTATATTAAAACGTAAACGATTATATTAAAAGTAAAATATAAATTTATATTATAAAAAAAGTTCTCTCCGGCGGGGAATCGAACCCCGGTCTCCCGCGTGACAGGCGGGGATACTGACCACTATACTACCGAAGACTTGTATGTATTGACGAAATAGCTTACTATATTTATGACAACAAAATATGCTTCATATTTTAATAAACGCATTTAATTGTTAGTGTAGTTGTCGTATATTATACTAATATAGTTGGTCCGTAATTGAGTGAGTCTCTTATCAGTTATTTCTATATAAATATTTTAAATATATTTTTATTAGTTATATGTTATCTAGATATGTTTAGAAAAACGATTTAACGTGTTTGTTTACTTGCCTAATGGACATGTAGTGATTTTTTTGTATGTATTATATATTTAAAAATGTTAATTTTATTAATAAACTACATATTATGCAACTAGAGTAGACAAACTTGTTAGAAAATCTGTTTATTAAAATATGCATTCAACACAGTTTTCCAGGTGATGCGACATCTATTAGTCTAACTTTAAATTAAAAAGTAAAATTAGTATGACCGATCATCTCTAGATGTCGCTAACACAAAAAAATATCTTTAAGATTATTTGAATATCAAGTTTTTTTACATTATTAAAGATGATATTTGGACAGTATTCAAAATATTTATTTATTTTACTTTGTACAATGATTAATATTTTTATTCACCTTCAATATAAAGTGCTGCCATCTCTCCGATTATGTAACATACTTTTCGCGCCATCTATTGTCGAATTATGCCTTGATAAATAAAAGGTTAAATCCGTCGGCCACAGCTGGTAGCGGTAAGAGACGAATGCAAGCTGGCAAGTGGCAACTGGCAACACACAACCAGTTTGACGAATATAATGTTACGGAACGCTAGTGCCGCTTCGCTTCATTGAAAACAATCTGATTATTATTGTTTTACGCGAGTTTTATTAGAACATGAGTGTTTACGTTTATGTGCATGAATAAAGATAACAATTAATGTTCACTGTAAAGCCTAGTAGTGCGTATGTTTAAGTTTCCACGTGAATTTGTACATTTTATACGAGTGTGTAATCTTGAAACGACGACTTAGCGTAGTTGGACGGTGGTTGAAAATGTGAGTTTAACAATTGGTGAACTTAGGTTTTAGGGATTAGAGACTTAAAATTTACGAACTTTTAACAATGAAGTGGTTTGCGTTTATAATATTGTTGCCGGCATGTTTTGCACATCTCAATGTTTATTTGAGTAGTGCTGAAGTATGGAGACTTCTAGGTAAGTGAAAATTTTAATCTATACTAAATAAAGTCTGAGTTTTAAGAAAAATTTTAATTAATAATATAATTATTGGTATTAATCGAGTCATATACATATACGACAAACTAATTCACATTCTATTGTGTAGTCATAAGGGTTCATTTTTGTGTAACATTATTGTAGCTGATAATCACGAGTGCCAATAGTATTGCAACTAATGCAACCTAATTGATTTTAATTTAGTTTAGTTTTATGCCTACAAAAGTATACAGTTATAAATTTAATTGTTTTTCCGATATTTACATAAGTCCTTATATTTAGTATCTATAGTCAGCTATAACCTGTAATAATACGTACAATAAAAAATCAACAGTTTCAAGTATAAGCAGTTAATTCATTGCTAGATCTGGTTGATAAGTCATTGATCCTTCCACTCAGATAAAGAATCGCAAGCGTTGATAACAATGATGCGATTGATAATACAGTAGCCCCTTTGAATTATATCAATATTGTAGACAACAGAAAATGTATACAAAAATATTAAACATACAATCGAATATTATGTTTAAAACAAAAAGCTAATACATTTGAGTCCATAAATGTAGGTAATTCTAATAAAAATTTTAGTTAAAATTATTATATATAATTTTATAACAACATGCACAAAAATGCCTATTTAATTGGAAGCTATTCCTTGAAATGCGATTATCTATTGTGCATACGAAATTGCAGAGACCTTTTAAAAATACGAACCCTGGAAATCGAAAAGAAACTTAATCTTGTTTTACGGCAATTTTGGGACGCATAAACCCAAATACCCTTATCTGTCATCTAAGCTTTTATTCTGAGGTGGCAAAAGTTTCGTATAGATAGTACTGATCTGCTGTATTGAAGATGCTATTGTAATAACAGAAATATTTAATACTAGCTTTCCGCCCGCAGCTTCGCCGCGTGGAGTTCGGTTATATCGCGTTTCCAAGAGAACCTTTCAAAAGTCTGGGATAAAAACTATCCTATGTTCTTTCTCAAGGTCAACTCTATCTCTGTACCGAATTTCATTAAAATCAGTTCAGTGGTTTAGGCGTGAAAGCGTAGCAGACAGACAGACAGACAGACAGACAGACAGACAGAGTTACTTTCGCATTTATAATATTAGTAGGGAATTAGTAGGGATTTATTAAAAACTTATTTATATTAAATAATGATAAGAAATACTATATTAATAAAAATTTATGATAACATAAAATTTTATTTGTCTTGTACATTATATATTTTTTTCAATTATGTATGAAAAAATAATGTTTATTAAAAAAAATCGAATAAATTAGGTATTCAAATTTATTTAGGTATTCATTTTATTCGCCTGTTGAGATATCTTATAAAAAAATAAAAATATTTAATGTTTTGTTTTTTATCTAATTGATTTTCAAGTCAATAATATATACAGCGAAAATTGTTAAAATACAACCACTTTTTTTTTATTGTAAAAAAAACTATAAAGACAAATAGTGGTTCTATTTATTAAGTATAATAATTCTGAGAAGTGTATTTATTCTATGTCCGTGTTATATAACCGTGGTACAGTTCTTTAATTGTGAGTGTGACAGATTTAAAAGGGCCCCGCGTCCGCGCAGGTAATAAGATGCTTTCTAGTGACGACTTTTTGTCCCTTTGTACGGACCTGTTGGCAATTCATCTTTGTCAACCATAGAACCATCTGCCCTTTGTTCCTGCTTAGAAATTAGAATTACATTAAACAATGCTCCGAGAACGGAGTTAACGAAAAATTTAAATTATATACCGCCTTAATATACATAATGCTTGTTTAAAGTTTGAATAAAATTTATATTTGAAAGATTATTAAAGAACTTTAATCCGGTGAAACTGGCCAGTGTGAGATCTCAGTCCTCAATACATGTAATTTATTTAACTTGACATTTATTTACATATTACGAGCCAATCCAATAAAATATCAAATGTGTCTTTTGACACCTTAGGACGCCATTTTATTTTATTTTTGTTATAAATTGCGAGGACATACATATTTATTTGAGAAAAATATTCGTATTTAAATGTAGTATTATATTTTGAATGGATATTCTAAGAATAAAATTACTTAAACATTGATTCATATTTCAATAGCACGATGTCTTTCCTTTGGTACGTAAAGCGTGGCGATAAAGTCTTAACTTCTCAGCCACTATCGGATGAATAGTTTATGGTTATGGCTTATCATATATCTGAGTTCTACAAATTCTTACCAGGAAAATAAAATACGAATAAATATTCCATATATCGGAATATTTTATTATAATATATGTATATGTATTATTATTTTTTTATTGATACAAGTTTTAATGTCAGTATGTCAGTAATTCTCTTCTCATTTTATTTTATATAGTAATCGATACTTTTACACTTCGGTGTAATTAATTTGGGGTCAATAAAAATGACGCTACCCGTCTGCTCGTAAGGAGATACCTCTAAAGAGTTTTGGGTTTCTTTCTGTGGTGAATAAAAAATAAAAGGTAATACGATACGATATGGTTTACTCGTATATAAAATTTCGTATACAAGATTATATATAATTTATATTTATTTTTCTACATAAGTTCTGAGAGTTATGAACACCCAAATGATTATATCTTCAAAATATTTAACGATGCTACGTTTCCGGCACCTTATCTTTTCTTATCCTTTGGTTATTTTTTCTAACGACCTACACCAACATTTATCATTATCGTGCCAGGGTACTCAAACGTGTAGACTGACCAGACCCGTGGCTTATCTGAGACTTGCCATATCACATCGTGAAATCTTTCAATAACGAGACGTATATAGATGACATCATAAAAATCCAAAGAAATGTTATTGTTATTTTATTGAATCCTATTAAAGCGACCTATTTCTTTATCCCCTAGATTGTATAGTGAATTAACAATGAAATATTTCAATAAACATCCAGCGTCGTTATATAAATATGAAAGTCCTTTACAAAAATATTCATCGTGTAAACAAAGTTGACACACGACTTGATGTGGAGTGGGCCCTAAATAAATTCAATTTCACGGCTGCTGTGAACGGAGTTTTTAATCCGTCCGTGTGTAATATGTCATACCGGGCAGGACAGGTGGGTAGCAATACCCCTTACGTGATGAGAATAAAAGTGTTTAATTAAAAATTAATTTGGAAGCCAATTTGTTATGTGATCCGCTTCTTGTTAAACAGAGATCGTTTTACTGCTTTAACGTTGCATAGAGCAGGAATTCTGTGGTTAGGCTGGTAACACTTAAGCCCAGAGATGCAGACGGCAGAAATAGAATTTGGAGCTCAGTTTTCAACTACTTATATTATGAATACGGCAGATATATAATTATTTGTTAATTCTTCAACACACAACCCTCAGATAATTTAAAGACCATTTTAATTCCAAAGATATTTTATATTAATATTCAGTTTTATTAAAAATACTAAGCAAACTAGACAGTTGTGAATCGAAGGTTATACCCACGTATTTGTATTCCCATGCAAGTCCAAAAGCGTGCATCCAGTTTTGCAAGAGCTCTAAATGGGTAAATTGCGTTCCATGGGCATTTTTTTACTAGTAAATTTCACATTCCGTCTGTAGGTACTCGATAAGCAATCATCTCTGATTGGTTTAGACGGAATCCATTAAGGTGATAATTGGATGGGCGAACGCATTTCAATTTCTGAATTCTGTCGCGTACGAGAGAGATACCTCGTTATAGATATTATAAGCATTTTTGTTATTATTTAAGGGTAAAGAACTTCAACTCCTAAATCGTGCGATTTTAATTACCTCATCACAAATATTTACATTATTTAACATTCATTATATTTATATATCAATCGTAATTTCAGTATGAAAAGTTTGAAATATCATATGAAAGACTCATAGCAAAATTATATTTGATTTCCACAATATTTACCGATTGCGTGATGCCATACTACACTTTCTATTCCTTTCCTAGAACCTAGTTATTGCTTCTATAGCTGCAATCAATTTCTCTCTTTACGTCTTCAATAAAAGCGTTTTAATATAAAAATGCAGATCTCAGTGCTAAGAAAATTCCAAGCATTTAAATTCAAAAGCTTTTCTATTCCCGTCTTTATATTTATGTAACATATTCAACTGAATCAGCTCGTCCAAATTAAATGTATATGAGAACTGAAAACAAGATGACATTAGCGTATCCAGGTCAAACAGTACAGCTGAATAAATAGATTGTTATAAATAACGGGACGGTAGCCGGCCAATTTGTTTCCTCGCTTGTTCAAATACCTCATTATTAAATCTTTTTAATGAGTATCCATTTCGTATCAAGATTTTAAGTCAACGCTTCGCTGCGGATAGTTAAATCAAAAAGTAATTCAACGGCCTAACAATTTTGACGTATGATACCAATTTGTTAATATCTGTATAGTTTCTATATAAGTACACATAACGTTCTAACGTTCTAATGCTAGCGATATGTCAAGTGTACGAAAAAGGAATTTTAAAATTAGTCTCTGTGATCGATAGTTGGGGTTATTCAAAATAATGGTAGGGCTTTCCGTTCAATCACGAAGTGGGTTTTGTGTTAGGTCTGCGGCAATTTGCTCAAGAATGGATGGAGATGTCAGCGCGACAAAAAGCATCGATCCATCAGCGATGCGCACACGCACGTGACTCTCACAGTTTGTGTGGAGGAGGAATGACCGGTTGCGTAACTTGTTAATATATTAGTTTGATTTGTTAGTTCCTATGTATATTTAAATGCATCGTCATGTTTGTTTTGTAGTATACCTTATATTAAGTTATCGTTGTTCTGTATATTTTGAAAGTTACTTCACTATCTTGCAGTATATTATGACGGTCGCTAGCTTAGAGTGTTTGGCGTGTGTTATGATATTAAATCAGTTGACCCTAAGCTGTAGGGTCGCTGTAAACGTTCAGGCGAGGTCATCCTCTAGTGAGGCACGGTCTGACTGGCCGTCACGCCGCGTCCATCACCTGT